AGGAGGGGGAGGATGAGGTGACAAGGAAGAGGAGGGGATGAAGCACGAGGAGGAGGAGGAGGAGGAGGAGGCGGAGGAGGAGGAGGACCCCTCTGGGGACGTCCTGCTTGGCGCGCCGCGGCGAGAGCGGCTCGGTGGCTCCGGCAGCTGCGCCTCGTCGAGAGCCGTGCGGCGGGTCCGCGGAGCGTCCCGAGCGGCCGCCGGAGGCCCGAGCTAGATACACATTCGGGGCTCAAGAGACGAGGGATCCGGGGACCCACGGAGCGCCCTCGGCGGGGCGCCGCTCCCGGGGAGCGCACCCGCGAGGCAGGCACGCCTCCAGGAGCCGACGACGACTCCCGAGGGGGCCGAGCCGCGCATCCGAAGGCTTGTCCTGGCGACAGGACCTCCTGGCGTGTTCGGGGCCTAAGAGACGGGGGTCAGTGCAAACGGGGGTCAGCCAGGGCACCGGATCCTGCAGGATCCTGCGAAGGCCCCCTCTGGCTGACCCCGGGTCAGCGAACCGCTCGTGGCCGCAAGAAGCGGCCGCGCCTATTGGCTGGCCCGGGTCTGCGAAGACCTGCGCTGCAGTTTTTGTTTCCTGCATTGCAGTTTTTTGGTTTCCTGCTGACCCGGGTCTGGATTGACCCGGGTCAGAAGATCCCCGACACATGGCCCGAGAGCCAGGCGATGCGGGAGGAGGGGAGCTAGTAGAGAAAGAATGAGTGCGCTGCCCAACGGCAGTTCCTGCCCCTTCTGAGCAGGGCTCGGGCAGCAGTTGTTACTGGGCACTGGGCCCATTGTTCCCGTGCCCATTCCGGGCGCCCAAGGACATCCTCGCGTCGGGGCAACAAAGTCATGGTGGAGAAGGGTTTTGACACAGTGTTCGGCCGGCGGGGGCCCTCACCAGGTCGCCGCGGGGCCGTCCACAGAAGCGACTCGTGGTGACAGGACGGTCGCCCGGACAGGGTCCAGAGCGCTTGGGAGCCACGCTGCGACAAAGCCACGGCATCGGACGATGTTCGGGAGGCGCGGAGCCACGAGAGTTAACCCGATGTCACTGAGAGTAACACCCGGGGGATATATATATATATATATTGAGAGAGAGAGAAGAGAGAGAGAGAGAGAGAGAGAGAGAGAGAGGCCCCCAGGGGATAATGAGCGATTTGTCCCGGCGAGCCGTGGCCCTGCCACACGTTCGTGGCTTCGGAAAGCTGCATTTGCGAGAATGTGCTATGGCCCTGCCGCACGTTCGTGAATTGGGAAGGTTGAAATGGGGAGAATATGCTGTAGCCATGCCACAGATTCGTGATGATGTTGCTACTCAACAAAAGAAGATAGCAACTTCGAGTCGCAACTTCCCCCCGCGATAATGAAGTTCGGCCTCGCCGCCCCTCTCCCCCGACCAACTCTGCCTTGGCCAGAGAGAGTCAACTCTCAGAGGTGAGGGGGGGTTATGATTTCTTATCCGGGGCACAAGGTTACGGGGAGTGTCAAGCAGAACCGCCAGCACGCACAGTTGGCAGGAGGGTCAAGAACAGGCGGTCTGGTGGTTGAGGGGTATCGTGTCTGGGGGGGGTCCACCTCGGAATGTTCTTCGTGTGGGGTATCTCTATGGGGCCTTGGGATTTCTGCGAAGGAGTCGTGTTCTTGACCACTGTTATTGTGGCAACGTTTCGTCTGTAGGCGGGCGGCCAGGCAACCAGGACGTGAGAGAGAGAGAGAGAGAGAGAGAAAAATGGCCAGCCTCGGGCGGTTTGGGGTAGGAAGAAAGGGCATGTGACGCGATAGCTGAAGAAGAAGGTGACGATATGTGTGTATGTATGTGCGGCGTTCCAAAAAAAGGGCCTTGCCTTCGAGTATCGAAGGAGTTGCCATCTCTTCCTCGGCGGAAGGCGGCGGAACGTCGGAAGAAGGTCGCGAAAGTAAAACGAGGCCGCTTCCGCTGGTGGCAGCTGGCGGAAGGCCAGCGGAAGGTGGCGGAAGTAAAGCATGCACCCCTGAGAGATGAGAGCATGTTTGGGCTCAGGGTTTCCGGAATCGCCCATACATAATAACATGGAGTGAGAGAGAGAGAGAAACACAAACGAAAGAGAGAGAGAGAGAGAGAGATGGAGACAGGAAGAGAGGCGTGTCAACGTCGAGCACTTCTGTGAAGGATTGCGCAGGGCATATCCTCCAGACAGTGCTTGCTTTGATTGGCTCTTCGCTGCCGTTCCTGGGTTTTCGCCTGGTCGCTGCCCTGCGGGCGCCTCGTGGGCGCCCCGCTTCCGGATTCTCGTCCAGTGGGGAACCCGTGCACGCCCCGTGCTCTGGTTGGCGGGCGTCTCGTGCGCTGGTTGTCGCCTCGAAAGCACAGAGCTTGCTCTGCACACAGCGTATCCCACAGTTTGTACCACACAGCTAGCCCTATACAGCTCGCTCCGCGTAGGTTGTACCACGTCGACTGCACCACGGAATGCGGTCGAGTTGCGTAGATTGCACGACATCGCTCGCACATCCAGAGTTCAATGCTTCGTTGTGTGTGGGGGGGTCACGCTGGCAAACATGTGATCATACACTTGCACTTGGAAAGGAGAAGACGTAAGCACGGGTAAGCATGTACCCATCTCCACCTGGTGACCTTTTTCTTATTCATTGTTTTGCCGATCGGCGCGGATCATCCCCCCCCCTTCCCCCATGTAGTAGATCTTGGTTGTGTTTGGCGCCTGTTTCAAGCAGGTGGATCCTCCCCCATAGGACGCACTGTTGCAAACAGTCGCATGAAGCAGAGGTCCGGAGCCAGACCCCCCCCTCCCCCCCCCCCTGTCCGCCCACTGTCGAAATGCCGAATTCGAAAACGTTGACCTGCACACGTGTACACGATTGTTTGGATAACTGGGTATATGAGCGTACGAACGCGCGGAAAATGTTTGTCGGCGCATCCACTCACATGGCCATACACGTCTGCAGACACAGGTGTCGGTGCATATGCCTGCAAGTATAGAAGTAGATTTGCGCATCGACTACCGCACTTCATTGCACACACACACACACACCTGCAGACACGTGAGCATACCAGTTGCATTGCCATACGCATTTTCAGCGGTGAAAACGATCTGCACAGCATTTAAGTGGGAACGCCTGTGTGCGTGCATGAGCAAATGCAGCCGCGCAGTCGCAGTCGCATGCGCACACACTGGGCATAGGGGTGCGATCCGAGCAGCATCTCGAGAGGGGATCTTACCGTGGCGGCGAGCACGTCCCCGGAGACGCCCAGAAAGAACAAACGTGCACCAGAGCATCGATCCACCGAGGCCCGAATCACGAGGATAGGGGAGGCGGAGGACGGGGAGGGAAGAGTAAGGAGAGAAAGGCGAGGGAGGAGGAGGAGGAGAGTGAAGACGGGGGAGGAGAGAGGAGGAGAGAGAGGACAGAGGAGGAGAGAGGAGGAGAGGAGCGGAGGAGGATGACTGTGAGGAAAAGGAGGGCGGAAGGAGGAAGGAGGAAAGACAGGGAGGAGAACGAGGAAGGAGCAGGGAGGAAGAAGGTAGGATACTGGCGATACGATGGGAGAGGAGGGAGGAGGAAGGAGCAAGATGAGGATGAGGAGGGAGGAGATGGAGGAGGAGGGAGGAGTATGAGGCGGAGGGAGGGAAGATGAAGAGGACCACTGCAAACCCACGACGCACCAACGATGTTGCAATCAACCCGCCATCCCAGCTCCCTCTTCACAGGTCCCTACAAGAGTTTCTTTCCACTGCAGGAAGGAACCTGTTGGAAGACAACCGACTGAGAACCCTCAATTGCTCCAAAACGCAATTCCTAGAACATCAGCGCCGCGAATCGATCTGACTGCTGCGTCCTGGCAACCCTAGGTTGTGCCAGCACTCGGCTCCGCAAATCAACATGACTGCTGCGTCCTGGGACTTCAGCAGCGCAAATCATCATGACTGCTGCGTCCCTGCAATCCTAAGTTGTGCCAGCGAGCCCTTGAAGTTGCTGCCAACTTTCAAGCTTAACGTGCGCGGCGCCAAGGCGAGAGCCACAGTTTGAGAAGGAGCCGTCCTCCATCTCTGAATATGTTGCGCACTTGTACGAAGAATGTGCTCGGCGCTTAGGCGAGTGGCACATGACTTTGAACACCAGCGGCCCTCCTTCTTGAAGCTGCTGGAAATCGGTAAGACGAATGTGCGGGCGCTAAGGCGAGACCCATGGTTTGAAAACGACCCGCCCTCCATCCGTGAAGCGGTTGCAAACTGTTACTGCGAATGTGTTCGGCGTTACGGCGAGAGCCACATTTTGAAAATGACCCGCCTTCCATATGGGAAATTGTTGCAACGTCAAGCTTCAGGATCATCAAGGTTGACGTCTCAGGCGAAACGACCGCCCCGTCCTCTGACGTGTTTGTGTAGGCCTCTCAGGTGGTGTCGGAGTAGATGAGGTAGACGGGGGAGGGGGGTGGGAAGGGGGGGGGAAGAAGAAAAAAAAAAAAAAAAAAAAAGAAAAGGAAAAAAGGAGAGGAAAGAAAAAAAAACAAAAAGCACAAAAGAGTAAAAAGAAGGGGAAGAAAAGGTGACGGGGGGGAAAAAAGAAGGTGGGGTGAAAAAAAAATAATGGGGGGGGGATCGCGTCCGCTCGCCGAATTGCATCGGCCGAACGTTCGATGTAGGAGCTGTGTCCCTCCACTCCCGACGTCGCCGATGCTCGCCGGAATTGTCGATGCGGCGCATCTCCCGACGCCCTTCGACCTGTCTGGGAGGACTCCTAGTCTTGGGGTTGGACAGAGCAGCGATTTGTCAGGACAAGGGATAGGGGAGGAGGAGGAGGAGGAAAAGGAGAAGGAGGAAAACGAGGAGAAGGAGGGGGGGGAGGCGCAGAGGAGGACGAGGAGGAGGAAGAAGAAGGAGGAGGGAGGCGGGAGGAGGAGGAGAAGCAGGAGGCAGGAGGGAGGAGAGGGAGGAGAGGGAGGAGAGGGAGGAGAGGGAGGGAGGAGCACCAGGAGGAGCACCAGGAGGAGCACCAAAAGCCCGCGGCCCGAGGACCTGGCCGACCGGGGCCGGCTCCACGGCGAGCCTTGGCTGCAGGCCAGGCCCCGGCCCGTGCGCAGCCGCGCCAGCTCGGCCTCCGCGGCCTCCGCGGACCGCGGCGCCGGCGAGGGCCGCGGCGGCGGCGGCGCTGGGCGCGGCGCGGGCGCGCCCTGGCATCCTCCTCACCCACCTCGCCCTTCTTCCCCTCCGCCTCCTCGTCCTCCTTCTCCTCCTTCTGCTCCTCCTCCTCCTCCTCCTCCTTCCCATCCGCCTCACCCTACTCGTCCTCCTCACACGCTTTTGCTGTGTTTTGTTATTCTCTGGGGGGGCCTGGACCCAATCTTTCATATCCGCCTCCCTACTTCCTGTTTCCACCTACTTCTTCCGACCGACGTGCACTGGCATTGGAAGCACAAGCGGTAGCAGCCGATCTCCTCGGCCGCGGCCGCAGGCGTCGGGGCATGCGATGGCCTGGTCAGGGCAGCTCCAGGGGGGGCCGGCCGAGGCTCGGCCGGCGGCATCGTTTTGGGTGGTTCCAAGATGGGCCCCAGGCGACCGACCCCCTGGCCAAATCTCCTCCTGCTCCCCCCTCCGTCTCCTCCTCACTCCTCCTCCTCCTCCTCCTCCTCCTCCTCCTCCTCCTACTCCCCCCCCCTCCCTCGTCCGCGTCCTCCTCCTCCTCCTCCTCCTCCTCCTCCTCCTCCTCCTCCTCCCACCTCCTCCTCCTCCTCCTCCTCCTCCCTCCCCCTTCCTCCTCCTCCTCCTCCTCCTCCTCCATCCTCCTCCCGCCTCCTCCTCCTACTTGTTCTCCTCCTCCTCCTCCTCCTCCTCCTCCTCCTCCTCCTCCTCCTCCTGCGATCTGGCAGGAGAAGGGCGCGCGCCCGCTCCCTAGGTTTCATGTGATTTCTGAGGCGGGCGATGACATGCCGATGTCTGGCTCGCCTATAGCCCTGCCAACCAATGTTCTCAGAACCTCTTGTGGTTTCCACGAAATGTTTTAACACATCGGGCTTATGCTCCAAGAACATTGTTGTTGTTCTCAGAACATTTTTGGGTTCTAGAAACTTTTCGTGGTAGGACTATGGGAATGCCGGGTCGGTCGGCCCCTGCTCACAGGGGGGGGATGTCTGGGACGGGCGATGCCGATGTCTCAAGTCCGTTCGGCCTCGCCCAGCTGAGGTCGCCGCACGACGCCTTCCGTCGCGCGCTTCGAAGTCTCAGAGGCAGCGCCGCGGCCTCAGAAGCTCCTTGGTAAGGACTTCTGAGACCGCGGCGTCGCACCTGAGGCTTCGAAACGCGCGAGTGACAGCGACGCTCGGCGACCCTGATGGCGAAGCCGAGCGGACTTGAGACGTGGGCATCGACCGTCTCAAAAACCCATTTCCCTGGGGTCCTTTTTCGCTCGCACGCTTCGAAGTCTCAGGTGCACCGCGAGGATGAGGAGGAGGAGGAGGACAAGGATGAGCAGGAGGACAGGGAGGAGGAGGAAGAGGGGAAGGATGAGGAGGAGAAGAAAACGAAGGGAATGAGCAGCAGGCACACGTCGGGATGGGCACAAGCAGGAGACGGAGGAGTGGACGCGGACTTTGGAGGAAGTCGAGGAGGAGGAGGAGGACGAGGAGGGGGATGAGGAGGAGGAGGAGG